ATAGAGTCTATATATTTTTTTCTCTTTTTTTATTTAAAAAAAAAGATAATCATCCTTCACTTATCTTTGTCTTCTAGCTGATCATCCTTCTTTAGTTGTAATTTTTATTTTTGATTGCCGTCCTTCACTCATCCTTTCTGGCGTAGATTATCATCCTTTACTTACGCCGTTTTGTTGAAAATAATCGTCCTCCTCTCATCTTTTTCTTTAAGCCAATTACCCCTCTTTGCTTATCCTTTATATTGTCCTCCACTCATTATTTCTGTTGTAGATTATCATCCTTCACTCATCCCTTTTCTTGTGGGAAACCATCCTTCATTTTTTCTTATAGTATAGGCAGTCACACTCCTTTACTTATCTTTTATAATATTGTCCTTCACTCATCATTTCTGTAGCAGATTATCATCCTTCACTCATTCGTTTTCTTGTAGATAATTGTTTTACTGTGTTTGGTTGGCGCGCATTCCAGTGTGGTTTGCTCCTTCTGTCCTGTGAAACTTCTATACAGCACCAACTAAAGATTGAAACGTGTAAGACATGATCACTGAAAGAACTTGTCTGAAATGTTCAGTGAAGAACGTTATAACTAAAGTACTGATGCCTCACCCTTATCTGATACACCCATTATGTAATACATTAAAAAGTGGATACAGAGAGGGGGGGAGAGGGGGAGAAGGAGGATTAAAAGGAGGAGGGAGCGGGGAAGAAGGAAGAGACTGACGATGAGAGGGGGAGAGGGGGAGAGGGAGGAAGAGGGCGAGGGAGAGAGAGACAAACAGACAGACGGACAAATGTTTCTGAATCAGGACAACGACATTATTAAATTACTACATCACTTGTACTACAGATATTCAGTTCATAACAGTAATTTTTCTATGCTTAAAGCATAGATAAGGCCACAGTGAAAGTTCAAAATTCTTCTTCAGCATTGGCAAGTCCATGAAGCACAATACTAGAAAACAGAAAATAAATATGTATTACATACTCAGACCCTCATAAACATACAAAATACATTATTTACATACAGGTTGGCAGCTAAGCAGTTGCAAATCATCTGCGGGGAACCCCCCCC